TGTGTGTGTGTGTGTGTGTGTGTGTGTGTGTGTGTGTGTGTGTGTGTGTGTGTGTGTGTGTGTGTGTGTGTGTGTGTGTAGAGCGAAAGCAAGCGAGAAAGATAGAGAGATAAATAGATAGATAGATAAATTTAAAATCAACATTCTAATGATTTTCGCGCCAGGAATTAATCTCGTAAATTGCCAGAAGTCACACACTGGCGCGTGTTAAAACCAGCACGAGCGTGTGAGCGAGTGATTGGTTTTCATAAGGATTTAACCAATCGATGAATAATTAATCACGCGCCCTGTCTGCGGCGACCGTGATTCATGGCCGCTTTACGAGGTAAAATAAAACAGCCGAATTCGGGAATCTGCAAAATCGATAGTCGTCGTTTTCGAAAAAAAAAACATGGGATGACGACGAAAGACGCAATCGATGGAATATCACCGCGGCTGAGTAAATTAATTATTATAATAACGTTCGTCCGCGCGCACGCGTGCATGTATGCGTGCATGCCTCTATGCGCGTATTGACCGCTACGATGGCGGTCCAAAGCAATGAGAAAATGTCAGATATAATCGTATAAAAAGATATAAGAGTATAAGAGTGAGAGATATGAGAGTATAACAATCATCTGTTTTGATAAGCTCTTAATACCATCATGCATGGGCACAGTACACAGATCGTATGTACAGAATAACGGAATAGTGTAATTATTTTAACATAATAACAGAAGTTCGCAATAACATATCTATCTGTCATGATGGCCTTCCGATAACAATAAGAAATCTTGTATATTTCCGATTGTTTTTCTATATCTCTTACCTGTTTAAATCCTCTGTACATCATCTGAAGCTCCTTTCGACTGAATCGGGTCGTCTTACAAAGTGCATCCAACCCCTCAGGCTTATATCTAACCACTTGCATTTCCAAGTCATCCATATCATGATCTGCGAAAAGAGAAGATCGAAATATGAAAAATTGTTGATAGAAACGTAATGGACCGAGAAACGATCGCGAACGCTTTCTTGCCAACTGCTAGCAAGGTACCTGATTAGTTCTGATTAATCGCTTATATACCTATCAGTGATAAAATATGCATCGTCGTTGCTAACCACGAGCCTGACACTTGAATCATCGCCAATAAATAATAAATTTGACAGATAATGCTATTGATATTGCCTAATTAAATTTCAGTAGATATACGCCTATAATAATTCGTCGTATCGCATTCTAGTATAGAGATACGAGTGGTGTCAGTCATTACTTATGCATTGTCGAGAAACACTATTTGTTTCGCGCGACAGATGGTTGGTTTTGTTTTGTGGTCTGCGTTATACAAATTAATGAAATTGGGTACATATCTGCAGGGAATTGCCTTCCCGCGCTTTTCCTCTCGCTCGTTTGCTTTCTATATGTCTTTCTTTTGTCTTTCTCTTTCCCCAACCTCTCCCGTTCTCTATCTATCTATATATCTGTCTGTCTATCTATATCTATCTATCTATCTATCTATCTATCTATCTATCTATCTATCTATCTATCTATCTATCTATCTATCTATCTATCTATCTATCTATGTATCTATCTATCTATCTATCTATCTATCTATCTATCTATCTATCTATCTATCTATGTATCTATCTCGCTCTTGCTGTCTATGTCCCTGTTTCTCGCTCGACTGCTTACTCGCTCTCTCTCTCTCTCTCTTTCTCTTTCTCTCTCTCTCTCTCCTCTCTCTCTCTTGCTCCCTCTCTCTGGAGCTTACGAACACTTTGCATTTATGTCACATACACGTGGTTTACTCATCGAACGCGTGTTGTGACGTACATGGCTTGTGGATGTTCCACTTTCACGCACAGACGCTAGCAGCTCTCACGCGCTCTTTGCTTTACGGTGCCGCTCAACCAGGCTCTCTTCCTCTATTTGCAAACACACCGCATCAACGATCGCCATATCTTGTTTCTCTGACTCGGTGATATGGGAATCAAACCCAACCCCGAACGCTTCTATTACAGTAGCCTCTAACAGACAAACACAACACAGCAAACACAGGGCAAAGCTACAGATGGTAACAGTGTTGTAGTATATATATAGGGACACATTTCTTAAAGGCACAAACATCTACGACAGCGTACGATATAGTGCGTCGGCGTAAACAGGATATTTTCAGGGCGTTTGCAGGACGTCTCTCACGAAACACACTCGGGGATCGCTCGCCCTATTTGCATACCGCACGCATTTATCAGCATCCGCCTTGTTGACGGAACACTTGACAGTTTCCCATTATAGACACTCAATGGAAAGCGCATTTCAAGCTGCATTATTCACGGGCCGTCTGAAAGCGCACTTTCGCGCTGCGCGCGCTCCTGCTTCGCTAAAAGAACCCGGCCGCGGCGCGCCGGCCGTGTTTCTTCCCACAAAAGGCCCGGCTCGCGTCCATGATGCAAGTGTGGCGAGATGAGTAGTCTCTTTGTCGAGAAAGAGAGGGTAGAGGGCAAACTGCATGCAGTGCCCCTTCCCACACTCAGGATAATACCACTGCCACAATGCTAGCACTATTTTTAAAGTGGGCGGAGCTCCGGGGAAATCCAGCAAATGGCAATCCAACGGCCGCGAAGTCGCCGTCGAACAAAACATTAGAAATTTCTATGATTTGCATGTTTGTTGGTGAACAAATTTAGATGTTTTAAGCTGAATACGCACAAATGTATCAAAGACAATGTTCGAGAATTAGGTATATTGGCAATCATCCCAAAAATTCATGATAAATACGTGAACTTAGTTTAGTAAACAGCGTAATGATCTGAAAGTAGTAAATGGGCGCACTATTGTAAAAACCCACGTATAAGAACATAGATTTTTCCAAGTTAGCCT